GGGGGGGGAAGAAGAAGAAGAAGAAGAAAATGGAGGAGGATGAGGAAGAGAACAAGAAGAAGAAGGAGGCGGTAGTGGAGGAGACCAAAAAGGAGAGAGCTATTAAAAAAAAAAAATGTATATAATGTGTGCACGCCTTTGTATAGAGGCCTACTGTTAATATTACGCATGCATAAGTGTTTTAAAAAAAATAAAAATTTCAATACATCGACACGGAGAATTGACATTTCTTTTTCTTCCTTGAAGTTTTTTTGTTTCTCAAGGATGATAGAATATTGAAGTACATTTGTACATGTTGCTCGACCTGTAAAATGTAAACGAGCAAATGCCATGGCAAAGGAGTTCTTCTATTCAGTATAGTATACATGTAGTTATAAAGACTCGCAACCATAGAGCAGTGGGTTCGAATCCCGTCAGGGACCGGACGTTGTGTCCTTGGAAAAGGCGCTTTACACGAATTTTCCTCTCTTCACCCAGGTGAAAATGGGTACCCAGCTATAGACTATAATAGAGTAGACAGTGAAAGATCTTGTCCGTTTGTTGGTGTTTGAGCGCTTACAGCTCCTTTGTACTGTATGCTTCCCTTCCCGGGAGGCTGAGAATGTTTCTGAGTGTCCTATAGTCTGCTTGGGGTAATAACATAGTGTAAAGATTTCTGTAGAGCGGGGTAATGCGCTATGCAAACTAATGCAATTTATGATTAGCAGTTTTCACTGAAGGAAGTTTAGTTGCATGTACATGTATTTTGTATGGGGTGCACGTTCTGGAACTTTTATTTTAAAATTCTTCTTCTGAATTCTACTCCTCATCCCAACTCAGTACATGGACCGAATTTCTTGTGTGAGGGTGTCTGGAGGATGAAGAGGGGTCAGGGTCAACCCAGGCTGAGAGGGATACATTGTCCTAGCACAAAGATCTAAATACTCAATTCTTTCCACACAGAAATCGAACTCAGGTCTGCATGCCATTGCCATGGCCCCGCGCCTAATCGCCATACCACAGACGCAGGTTTTTAAATGGACAACAGAATGTTGTTAAGATCCATATAGGGCATACACACAACACAATCAGAGAGAAATGGTTTAGTTTTAGTAGAGGTTTAACGGCGCTCGCAACTGCATAAGCTAAATAAGGTCATATGAGCGCCAGAAGATTAGAATTAGAGGTGTTACAAGAGATTAACAAACGTAAAAAAGGAGGGGAGATAAGGACGAGATTTTTGATAGGAAAGAAGAAGAAGAAGCAAACCACACCTGAGCACCCACCAACCACTCACAGAGAGAAAAGGTTGGAACAAAGAATGTCCATAGATCTTATAAGAGAAGAAAGGATGAAGTCGTTTTTTGAGTATGTCCTTGTTTACCAGCATTGCACCTAGTCCAGTTTTGAGCTTTAGTTTTAGTATTAAGAATTTCAGAGCAATTCCAACACAATTAACCCCCCGGGGCGGTGCCACGGACAGAAGTGACTTTAGGCCATTCCCAAAGGAGAGACATTTCTCGTTCTAATGCACAAGAGAATTGTAAATGGGCTGACCCAACAATGTCATCAGGGAACTGCTGCTTTTTTCACCCTAATCTTTACTATCGCCATTTTCCTCTATTTCTTTTGTATGCTTGTCACACTCTTTGTTGTGACCCGTTATTTCCAGGGTGCCTTGATAGTCGAAGCAGACTTTGTGCTGTTGAAGCTAGAGAGGTGAGCAGAGTAAGTCTGATTCATTGAAAGGACTTCTCTGTTGACATCCACCCCTTGGCGCTCATATGACCTTACGCAGTTGCGAGAGCCGTAAAACCTCAACTAAAACTAAACAACACAATTAGGTTATAAAAGACAATAGAGATGCTCTATTACTAGAAAGTTTAAAGAAAAGGAGGAGAGAGACCATTTATAGAATTTGAAAGGACAAAACCAGAACACCCACCAACCAAACATGTTCAGTTTTTAGTAAACAAACACACTGGTGACACTGACACAAAAACTGTCATTATTAATGATTATTTAGAGCAGGGAACAAGCAAGATAGGCAGAAAAAGCAGAGGAAAAGAAAAAATAGACCAACTGATGTCATACTATACAACCACTCAGCCTGTATGTTTTCCGCCCCATCAATACAATTTAGATCATTTAGGAGGCCGGCTGTTTGATTATGTTTGTCAGCTAATCCGGCCTCCACATCAACTGTGACGGCGGCTAGCAATCCAAACAGATTTCTTAGTGTAAGACTTGCCCATATGCAGGGTTCCTGCCATGAACTTCCCACCAAATTCAAGAAGATTTCAAGGAAAAATTTAAAAAATTCAACATTTGGTAAAAAAATTCATACCAAAAGCTTATTTCCGATAGGCCCATACTTGTCCGAAAGGAATCATAGTTTCGATTTTCCGACAAAAACATTGTTCATGTCCAATCTAGCAAAATTCAAGGAGCTCTCAAGGAGGTTCCTCAAATTCAAGGAGTTTTCAAAGAGATTTTCCCTTCAATGCAAATTCAAGAAGTCTTCAAGGACTCCTTGGGAACCCTGCATATGCCATTTTGAAAAGAGACTGATAAGTTAACGGATCTTACACTGAGCCGTCGAAATGGATTCAAATTTGAGTAATCATTAACCCTATCCGTATGCCCTGGGGTCATTTTGTAACCCCAGGGTTGTATTTTTCGCATTACATTTTAGAACACCTCTAGTGGGAAGATCTCTTTGAAACTTTCAGTATTTCTCAAAAAATCGTTTTGAGAGACTGCTATGCAAAGCGTACGGATCGGATTAACGTGTAAATTTCCTCTTTGGAAAGTGGTGGCACAAGAGTTCCCCACGTCGTATGGATACGATAGTAAAACACGACGTACGGATAGTGTTAAGGAAAAAGGGGAAAAATAAACAAAAGAGCACAAGAAATAATCCAAAAAATATCTAAAATTTAAAAAAACTTTTATTTCAATCTTTCAAAGACCTAGGGAAAAAATAAAATAAAATGCGAACAAGCAAAACAAACAGCCGTAAATATGTTTTGAAATAAATAATGCCAACGCATAAGGACAAAAATACTGCCATGAACAAGAATTTCAGACAGACACCTAGCCACACTCCACTGCTTTCGAAATAGAAACGATATGGATTAAGCAAACTCGAATGAGACACCCCCCAACCCCACCCTCATAGAATACTTTTTTTTTAGCACTAAAACAAAATTTGAACAATTTGTAGCACTTTCAGTAAGTAGCATCAGCATTATAATGAGAAAAGATTTCGGGCATTCAACCATACCAAGCATACTGTAAACACATCTACACAAGAAGCAACAGCACACAATGTACAATGTGATCCACTTCCTCCATCCACAATCAACGTTAAGTCCTAACGCGCCTGAAAGTGCACTAACGCTAACACTATCGTAAACCCATACACCCTTGTGTGTACTCAGCCAACGTACTTTATCTTTTTACATGCAGCATTCACAGAGAGCTCTCTAGCAATAGGGCATGGAAGACCGACGTCTCTCACGCACCGTTTAACTTGAGAAAACTGACATGACCCTGCACACAAAAACTCCAATCACTTGTGTTTGTACACACTGTCAATGCAAATAGCAGTGGAGACAAAATTTATCATTTGTTTTGATCGTTCATCACTAGTGGTTCATGCAACTTACAAAGGACTCTGATAACAAGCCTAGGCCTTCAATGAACAGTCCAATGGCCACTTTGCACACATGTATAATTACGTATATATATATGTATAGACATACATTTCCCTGAATATCTTTGTGGCGCATCTGATGAAGCAACTGACTATATTAGTGTATCATAAAACATGCGCTTGTTTCACGCAAGAAATAAAAACGAACCCCCACCCTATCCCCAATGTTGAAACTGCAAGAGAGCAGAGAGAAAAAAAAAAAGGTTTTTCAAACACGTAAAAGAATCAAACACGCCCCTCCTTCTCCGCTTCCCTCGCACGACTATGGACAGCATAATGAAATGGATGCAGTGTTGATGATCAGAGAGTTTGTTCCTGCCAGTCTCAGTCTTCATCCCAGTCTTTGTTCTGCTTTGCCTTAGGACCCCCGGCTCTTTTGGCCATGATGATCTGCGGAAAAAGGTAAAAAAGAAAAGGTCAACACCTAGAACTACTTTACAAAACAGATTTCACTGTAAAACAAATCCAAAGACGCATTAACAGCTCTTCATCATGCTGGACAGTGGTATGAATCTACAATCAAGCCTTCGGTGGTGGGCAAATTTTGAGAGTTTTCATGACTATTTTGACTGTTAAGTGTAAGACTATATGAAGCTATTTCTAAAAGTGACGAATGACAGAGTCTTACACTCAGCAGCCCATCTGTGTTTGTCAGAACAGTAGGTACGTCTACACTACACTTGTATGACTGAAGAGGAAAGTGACATTTAAAATAATTGGTTTGGGGGTCCTCTTCCTTTCACAATATCAAAGCTGTCAAAAACCATGCCTGTTTTTTCCCCCCAATTCACAAGTCTTCATACAAAATCGTATCACAAGATGCAAAACGCATATTTGAGGGGTTAAGTTTCATGTACTGGTCATGATGGCAACCTGCTAACCCGAACGCATTCGAATATATTGCTTACAATAAGACTGAATTAAATTGTTCACAGCTTTTAATGTTGATCTTTTTAAAGTAATACCGCCGCCTATAAAGTATAAGCTGCATATTCCGATAATTGATACTATCACTACTATCAGATGGTAATCAACAAAAGTGAAAGTTGACTGGCATTCCTAATCAAGTCACTTTAGCCACAACATGACACCTCACTTCTGACATACTGTAGCTGCTTACTTGAGCTGGAGTCACTCTCTGAACAGGGAAAGGGGAGTGAACACTACAAGACCTGAATTTTTCTGACCAAGTCAGATGAAAGTTTCTGAGTCTGGAGCACAAAATGTACTTTCTCAAGTCTAATTATCGTTTCCCATGATACCATGGGTCCTGGGAGCCTACAAGTAAAGTGATATTAAAATACTATATGTTTTCAATAACAACAAAGCAAGCATTTTATCAAATAGAGATAGCACCAACCTGGTCAACTCTCAAAACTGTGCAGGCAGCAGATGTGGCAAATTTAAGTCCCCAGTACTTGGTGATGAACAAGTCAATGATATTGGCTTCTGCAGCATCTACAACGGCAGCCCCTTCAGCCTGGACAGATCAGAAAAGGTTAATAAGAAACTGCACTCACATAAGATCAGATATTCTTCAACCATACATGTGTAGACCCATTGCAGGAAAAGAGCCAATTCATTTTTAAAGACTACTACAGTCAAGGTGAAAAGAAGATGTCGTAGACGGGTTGCTACCTCAGAATTGCAAAGTATTATCTGACATTTTTTGGCTGTTTTGAGTTAAGACCATGAAGTCAGAAACCAAATGCTCTATGAAAATCGTAAGATAATTCAGTCGTTATCGAGACATTCAAAGAATTGCATTGGAAAAGGCTTGAAATGACACTCAAAATCTTTGACATCAAATTTCCCCAATCTAGGCACTTAGGCAGAACTTTGTAATTCTGAGGTAGCAAGGTGGATATCTTGGATGGCGTCATTATGTTATTTTTAAAAAACACAGAGGGGAAAGTTCGAAGTGTTTGTGAAAGTAATTATCTTGGACAGATGGCTCTCAGAGCAGGTTTGACTGTCGTATGACATTGCTTATCCAAATGAATCTCTTCTGAAATCAATACAAACCCAATTTTTGCTCGGAGGAATGAAAAATTTAACAATCTAATGGACAGAAACATTTTCATCTCTTGCTCAATATCAATTTCAAGCACTAAATTCCAAACTTAGTACAATACAGACAATAATGAGCACTCCATTCCTCTACCATTACAAATGGGCTGGACATTATTTTTAAACATGCGGCCTCATATATATTTAGAGTTGGAATTGGAGGGGGGGGGGAAAGAAAAATAATACACATCTCCCATTCCACTTCAGCATTCATCCAGATGGTTATACTAAATCTTCACAACTTACCTCAATGTCAACACCAATGTTGACCTTCTTTTCATGATGTGCAGCATACAATTTGCCCAGAACCTCGGTTTCCTGAAGACAAAGAAGGACAAAATATGTTCAAGACAACAGGATCACAGCCAGCCTGCACTTGGTTAACAATGTCAAGCTCAATGTAAAATAAATTTCGTACGTGTCTCACTTGCTAAACATTGTCAAACCAGCTTTCATATTGTGAAATAGACTTACCTGAGTTCCAACTTTCAAGCTTGCTACATCGGACTGTACATTACAAGAAAGGTATGACTAAAGTGAGAATTTAAAAAAATGAGGGGACATCTGTTCTGAACGTGTCACTGTATAACGGGAAAGAACAAATGGTTATATGAGCTTTTGCTTCCCTTGGCACAACTGCAACCCGTAATCAATAAGGTCAGAATTGGTTCTCAACAAGTGTCATTTTCTTCTTGCGACCTTCCAAATGTAACCTTGACCAATGTTGAAAACTAAACTGCAGTAGTGCTACAATATACAGATATGTAGCGAGCCATTCTCTTTTCTCTGATGTCACACCAAACATGCTCTAGACTAGCCCCCCCCCCCCGAAAGATTCAAAGCCACACATGTGGTGGCTATTTGTCCAACCTCTCTTGACTCCAACAATGCACGTGTTGTGTGGAAGATGGCTGTGTTTGATATGTCATTGGTAGTGTGCAGTGAGTGATATTGATAGGTAACAGGTGTGTACAGACAGTCCCAAGGTATAGGCAATAGGAAAAAAGGTCCTGACGGGGGAGAAAAATGGGCGCAGCGACATCAGCAGGGGCCGATCACCCTATAACTTGTGTAAGCAACTTCATTGGATCTGAGTTTGTTAATTAACGCATTCTTTACGTACAAAGCATTAAAAAAATTTTTAATGGATAATTTACCAAAACATTTTTTGGTATGTAACTTAGCAATCGAATTGTTTTTTTTAAAGGAAGTGTTAACTTACCTTTACACCAGCATTTCTGGCTAAAGCTTTAGGGACCATTTCAAGTGACTCGGAGTACTTCTTGACAGAATACTGCTCAAGTCCAGGAAGGCTCTGTGAGAATAAGATAAAAAATGCATTACTTCAAACAGATGTAGTGAAAAAAAAACAAACACGTGTGATTTGCGCTGAGAGATGAGAAATATACCACGACCGTTGCACCTGTCATAATGATTGCAGTTTTTAACCACAGCAGTATCAGCCAATCTATAAAAACATCAAGCCACATGAAAACAGAAAAGAAAGCAGAGGAGTAACCTAGCAGCCGGAGCAATGTAACTTACCTCTCCAAATGTGGCCACTTGCGTTGCCAGTTCAATCTCAGTGGCACCAGCTCCAGGTACAATTCTGTTATCCTGAAAAGAACAGATTAAAAAAGTTATGAATATGGACAAATGAGCTAAGGAGCGCTTTTTAAAAATACTTACAACTCAGAATTTCCAATGTTTACCAAAGACACAAAACCCATCTTTTCCCCCACTGCACCTCTGAATTAACCTATTATCAATAAAATATCCAGATTTTTGTATCAACAGTATAATTCTTCACAAAACTAACAACACAACTTGTGTCCAACCAACTTATACTTGAATTGGCAAAATATCTAAAGAAGGTATTGACAGGCTATTTCTGGCATCTGCGTTTGTCGCGGCAGTGATTTTTGGCATTTTTTGGTCTGCGAATTGCGGCCACGATTTTTGCATTAAAAAAACAAACAACAAAAACAAACCAACCCCCCCCCCCCCTCCCCCCCATCCAAACAACCCCAGTGTATCAAAAAGATAAAGAAACCAAACCTCTTTTTTTTTAGAAGGAAAGTATATTTTCATGTGAAGAATATGAATACATTTTATACTCTTTATATATTGCCGTTTCTTTTTCATTTTCCCCTAGCTTTGTTGTGTTTTAATTTGCTGGTGTGTTAATTAGAGCGTGTCTCCACCAAAAACGAATACTAACACTGGTAGTAGGCCCCATGTGTGTGATTCCATAATAAAAATTTATTGTAATATCTTGTACTTTTTCTTGAATTTCACTCGTTCATGGTTAAAACGGCCGATCATCAGATAGGTGGACACACGGCCCTTATTTGTTAATTTTTGTGGTTGTTTATGTGCTTTTTAATCTTGATGTCATTAGGAAAAGAAAGCCAATGCAACCACAGAATGGTTTAAAAAAGGGAATTTTTGACTGTGGGTCACCCCCCCCCCTCCCCCACACCAACAATACTAATACAAACACTTACTTTTGTGAGAGCTTTGAAAGTGTTGACACCATCATCAATGGCTCTTTCGATGTCGTCCATGATGTTGTCAGTTGAACCACGGATCACAACAGTTGCGATTGGGCTTTCCTTTTTGTCTGAAACAAAAATTAATAAGAAACTAGAAATTCATCTAAAAACGAAAATTGTTTAGGAGAGGTCCAAAGAATGAATCTTAGTAAACAGACAATTAAAACTATAAAACTTTAAAAAACCCAACACGGCTACTACGAAAGGGCATGGAAGTCGCATAGGCTTAATTGAGAAAATGGGGAATACAGTGAAAAATATTCATGGGTGAATAAAGATTGGTCAGGACATCACATAATCAATTATTTTACTCATCATCACAAAATATTTTATGCAAATTCTGTTTTAAAATATGATTTTGAAAGCCTTAAAACCACATGTTCATTGCGTAACATGAAATAGCTTTGATTTTTGACAAATGATCACCTTATTTAACAGACTCTTCTGTCATGTATGGTCCTTATGAACCCCGACACTTTATATATACACCTTTATTTTCATTGTTAACTCCCCAGTTTACTGAAGGTTAGTACTTATGGATTCCTATCAGCAGGGAAAAAATGGAAGTAGTACTCATCACTAACCTTCTGATTAATACGTTCATAATTAATCCAATCTGGACTTTGGAAATGTCTTTCTACTTTATTCTTGAGAAAACTCAAAAAGTATAACTATTTGAGAAATCTGAAAAGTATTCTCACCTTGCTTGAAAACAACAACAGGGGTATCTCCAATCTCATCAACATATGCCCTATCACAGTATCCGCACTCATCAGTAGTTGGTGCAGTCTGTGAAAATAAAACAGAAGTTTAGTTTTCGTAAGAGTTTTACGGCACTTGCAACACAATAAAGTCACATAAGTGCCGAAGATTAGAGGTGTTACAAGAGCGTAACAAACACAAAAAAAGAAGGAGAGATCACAACAATACATGTTTGATAGGAAAGAAGGAGCAAACCACACCAGAGCACCCGCCAACCATCCCCACAGTAGTTTACTATGAAAAAAAAATTTTAAAAATCCCCGGAGACAAAGTACAATATAACATTTTAAAAAGTGCAGTCACAAAGAGCAACAAGTTTGAATAATTATTTACCTGTAAAAAGCTGCCAAGCACACAACTTAGTTGCAAAAATTGGTTTGAATCATTCTGCGACATTTTCACAACCAGAAGAGCAGCCCATTGAATAGGTAGGCAGTCCTTTCATCTTATAAAGAAAAAGTGAAACAGTTGCAAAATGTAAACTGATACTCCCCCATGACAAACAATCATTAACACGACACGACACAAGACCGAAACTTTCATTGAAGGTGTACTCACAATCTTTGGCAACGGTGTAGCTCCTATAGATTTACAAAGACGACGGAGATCCCACTTGGACAAGAGACGGACGAGCATCAACTTGTACTTGTTGGCGTAATGAAGGGCGAGGTCACCGACCTTCCCTCCAGTCACTATCACATTGACACCAGCATCTGCTATCGCTTTGATTTGCTGCACACAAGACAATAAAAAAAAAAAAAAAAAAAAAAAAAAAAAAAAGCAAACATGTGAATTTGATTTTGGGGGGGGGGGGGGGGGGCCCATTTCCATTTTTCACAATGAATCACATTAAAACCTTTAGTACTGTCAGCGAATTTAGTCGTCAGTCCGTAGCATGCGCTCATTACCGCTAGCGACTTTAGTTGCCCACTCGACCAGGCACACCAAACATAATTATAACAACGAACAGAGCCACTGCACTGAAGTAAATACCAAGGAAGTCACTTTATGTGATATTTCAGTGGCTGAAGAACCTCTGTGAATTTTCAAAACGTCTTTCTTGGACCACAAAGGTTTTTTTTATTTCATAAAATTCGATCATGGCTTCAGTGTTCTAAACTGGTGCGGTACTTGAGGGCTTTTCACTATATGAGCCTTTGGTACTGTAAGTGTTAAAGTACACTATGTAGAGATTTTGTACAGCAGTATGTTCTATTATCTTCAAGAATGTTCATTGTTGGCTCTGGTAACAAAGATAGTAATACAGTAGTCTCCGCCTAAGATCCCACCGCTTACGATCCCGGTTCGCTTAAGATCCCGCTGTTTTAAGAAAACAGAATTTTTACTATACAAAAGTTAACCCTAAGATCCCGCTCTGATTCACTCTGAAGGTCTACATTCGGCTAAGATCCCGCATTTCAGATTATAATTTGCGGAACAAAAACCCGGGCGGGACAGCCGATCAACCAAGAGTGAAAAGTTGAGATCAATAAACTGTCCGTAGCGTCAAAGATCAGCCACTATCGTGAATGTGATCATATACACGTAAAACTCGATGAAGCGATACAATGTTTGCCCCAGACGGGATCACACCGGGGTGTGAACCGACCGACACGATTGTTTTCCCCGAACATCGCACTCACACCTGAGCTCTCCCCCTAAACTTACATCACTCGCTGAGTGGGTAGGGCTACACGTTCGCTCCAAGCGGGAATCACATCGAACTGTGAACTCTTCCTTGACCATTGCACAGTTGTCTCTACTCCCGAATTTGCAAGACACACTGAATTTTAATTGGTGTGTTCACAACGTAATGGTGTGTAACGACAAAGGTAGTGGGGGGGGGGAGACTCGGTCAGAGATGGAAGGCTATAATTTTCGACAAGTAACGGGAAGGGGCAACTGGATAAGCATAGATCTTGAGACATGATAGGATAATAAGTGAAAATGGCACGCCTCATCCCACTATGTACTGTGATAGGTCATCAAGGTCAACCACTCTTTGCTCGCCATACGTCAAAAACCAACCAAGCGGTCACGTCAATTCATTTTAGAGTGGAGGGAGACCATTATGAGCCTTAGCATGGGTCACCATAGATTCTTCCCCGGGTTCGTCGGTTAAGATCCCGGTTCGCCTAAGATCCCGCATTTCCTTGCTCCCGAGCACCGGGATCTTAGGCGGAGACTACTGTATAAGATAGGAGGTTGATGAATTGATCCTTAAATAAATCTTATACATTTCGTAGAATTCAACACATACTCACCTCTTCCATCTGGTTTTCTTCACCTTTACTGAAGTTCAGCAATTCATCTGCATTCTTTATCAACACAGTGCCCTGAAATAAGAAATTTGCAATTTCTACAGTTCAAACTGCAGCTTTAAATGAGAAATATTCACAAAACCGACCAGTCAACAAGTTTCCTACCTTTGCACTATGAGCAAAAAAAAAAAAAGAGGCAGGTGCAAAACATGCATTTAGTGGAATATTCCACAAGGGACTGAAACGGGAAGGGAAATTAAAACTACAGTTGGCCACACAGTTCTTGAAATGTCACATTCGCCCCAGTAACCGAAAACACTAGTTTGTTGAAGACGGTCTTGCAAAATATGTTCATCTTTACAGAACCACACCCAAAAAGTGTCAAAACTTTCTCTTGATCAAAACATCCATCTATTTTATATGCTTTTATACTAATGATTCAAATTACGCAGCCAGTAAACAAGGTGTTACATTTCTACAACGTCAAAACACCCAATCACTGTGCCTTGTTTCACCTCAGAAGTATATAAATACAAACAAGCCAATAAAACCATATTTACCTTAGTTTCCGTTTGCATTGCATCGAGAGGACAGGAATAGACGACAACTTTGGCATTCTCCGCTTTCGTCACGTCCCCTTCCACCTGTCTCTTGAACATCATGCCCTGGATGACTTCACTCTGGAGGATTCCTGAGCCCTGAAAAAAGGATTAACAAATGTGATTCAGGCTTTTTTTTTTGGTAAGTGTTTTACCGCGCTCACAACTGATAAGATCATATGGGCGTGCGGGATATATTTAACATTTTTCAGTTGGTAGGCAGTTTTGAATTTTGTTTGGGTGACGCCCTAAGTCTACTCTTATCGATTTTACACCACCAAGGGATCTTTAACGTGCCAACTTGCACACGGGACCTCCGAGATTTTTTGCCCTTGTCCGAGAAGGCTATGTGTAGATCTTTCCTACCAGAAGATCAGGGGTGTGGCTGAAAGACAGCAGTAAGAAGTGGCCAAGGAGTAGCAGTAGAAAGGCTGCAGAAAGAGTCAGGAGCCCAGAAGAGGGGGTAAAGGAGGTGGGGACAGAAAGCAGACGACAGAACATTGCTAGAGAACAGGAAAAGAGGTGAAAGGAGACAATTTTAGAGAAGAAAATTTTTCCCTCGCTACCCGGGTTCGAACCCGGGGCCCTTGAATGAGAGGCGAACACCTTAACTTCTAGGCTACGAGGGCCCCCTGTATCAGGCTTTGAAACACGAGTCTATGACTTAATAAAAGATGTTTTGTGGAATACGTAACAATGGACTTCTAACTGAACCAAAGCAGTAAAAAGTGGTTGAACTTTTCTGTTAGCGACATTGTTCTCCCACTGAAATTGGACAACCACAGAGACCAAGACTTGTAATAACAAAAATGTAAAAGGAAGGAGAAATGAAATGTATACACATTTTAATTCGTCATACTTAAGCATACTGTAAGTCACAGAAAACTTTAAAAAAAACCCCCAAAAACCTTCAAAACCCGAACACTTAAATCATAGACTATTAAAAGTAAACAGACACTGGACAAAATTTAAAAACTTACTGGAATTTTGCAGACTCGAATGTTATCTACATTGAAGCTGACTTTTCCAGGAAGAATGGAAACTGTGGAAAAGAAAAGAATTTACCGATTGACAATACAATAATAAAATAACAGTCTTTAATTGGTAAAGATGAAAAAACAACAGGTAGTATTGAGGTATCAACCTTAAAAAACCCCAAAAGAATCAAGAGATTCCAAATTTCCAGTGATTGAAAAATCACCTAACCCGGTAAGACATATACATTGGAGCATAGAGCTTATCATACACACCTGAGCACATTCGCAAGGGACCCTACCTGCAAAAGGAAAACGCAAGCCAAAAGCCAAAACCCCAAAAGTCATTCATTGACGATGCTTCAGTGTAGAAAAAACAACAACCCAGGTGCCCTTACACTGGAACCGAACACAAACGCCCAACAACCCCTTAAATGATTTGGCAGACTAGCAACGCCCCCCCCCCAAGTGCAAATGTGCACATCGAATAAATATAAATGGATTGTTAGCAAAGTAAAAAATACACAAACAGTAAAAACTTACTGCAGGCTTTTGCTATGAGTTCAGCAAGGAAGTCCTCGTTGCCATACTGCTTGCTCATGACAGATGTGCGGATGGCTGGTAACACTTCCTTGAGATTTCTCATGTCTTTGACTGTACCAATGGACAGCTCTGGAGATAATAATCAAGAACAAATAAATAATACACTTGAAACAACTTGTGCAAAAATACTAGAGTAAGAGAAAAGACTGACAAAGATTATCTCTCTTGTACGACATTTATCTTTCTAGAAGCCTTCATACACTTAAAGTTAAAGCATCAAACCTGCGTGAAGTATTTAAAAACTAACGACACTACAATGTGGTAGCAGGGAATTTTCTTCATATGAAAGAATACAGTAACCTGAATCTGCATTGAAAAGAGAATAACAAAAGAAAACAAAAACAAAAATTAGACAAATGCTACTCCTTCTTTCATTCTTTTTTTAAAAAGTGGAAGATGAGCATCAGCTCATTGGTACCAAATCTATTTCAATCAAAGCATACTTTCAAGGTATTTAATCAGAGCAGGAAAAAAGTCCTACAGCACACACCCTGACTCAAACCTAACTAAAATATAGATCAAAGGTAACACTGCAAACAAACGACACACACCAATGCCGGAGTAACATGGCTAATAATGTTGAAAGCCTATCTTTAGCTTGGACCCGTGGACCTGTGACAAATGCACAGCAAGCAAAACTGAGGGCTGACTTACCTGGCAAAATATCCAAAACCTTTTTGCAGGCCAGCTCATAGCCCTCGGTAACTTCAGCAACAGACAAGCCCTGCAATTCAAATTAAGATGTGACAGGTTGTTCATGCAAATGGATACAAGAAAGTAATGAAACACGCAAGTAAAAAGACCAACCAAACAAACAAACAAAAAAATGCTACAGGAAAAGATCTAAAATATCAGATCCCATATTTTCTTCAGTCAACATTTTGAGATCAATTTAGCAAAATCAAAATAGAATTCTAAAAAAGATTCAACAGCTAATACATAGCCACTAAAAAGGAAAACAAAATACTTTTAAAAATCATTTAAAATCATAACACTTCTGTGTCATTGCTCTTAAAAAAACACACAAAAAACCCCCATAATTTATAATGTGTTTATCAATTTTTCTCATACATTGCCCCCCCCCCCCCAGCATATAGCCACATTGTTGTCGCTCAATTCACAAATACACCAATAACAAAAAGCAAAATATTCTACAAAGTCCAAGAGAAATTTGTAATTTTCGCCTACCATTCGTAGCAGTTCTTCAGCATTCTCCAAAAGCGCTCCAGCAAAGCCGAGCACAAAGTTTGTCCCATCTCCGCACTCTTGTTCCTGCTGTTGTGAAGCCATCACCAGAATTTTGGCAGCTGGATGCTCTACCTCTAGCTCTCTCAGGATAGTTGCAGCATCATTAGTGACGAAAAGCTTCTCTAAGTGGTTAATAACCATCTTATTTTGACCTGTGTATGGGGTAAAGAAATGGACAAATATCTTAATATACTTTTGAGGAATTGAATTACCCAGTGAGGAAAGTGTCATATACATTGTACCTAAAATGACTTTGGCTATTCAATAAAACATGAATTTAATAAGATAAGCCAGTAACTATGAAACTGGTTATTTCCTGACAGTAAAAAAATCTTAAATATGATCATGACACCCTTGAGGCATCAAAACACGAAAAACAACAGTTTACCATGCCAGTCTAACCTTTTTAAATACTTTCTTTTTGAATATTGTTTTTTATATAATATAAATACCATGAGGTCCATAAGCAGAAACTGTAGTCTGTGCGAGTTCCTTGCATGCATCAATGTTTCTGTAGACTGCCTCTTCCAACCCACTGTAGTGCTGGAAAAAAGGAAATTGTGCACATCATATAAGAAGTCTCTTTCCATGCAGGGAGAAAAAAAAAAAGAAGGATATTATAATCTGGGTTTTTAAAAACTTCTGCCTGTTGTTACTGTGATCATTTACTAAAGAAATGTTTCAGATTTAATCAGCATGAAAGCATAAGTTTGATCCTAGTGAATAAAACATCTTATTCCTAATAATAGTCCTGATACTGTTAGCACTTGATGACAGCTGTCTGGCACATACAAACTGATCTTATAACAGGGTTGGTGATTTTTTTGATAAAAATAAAAAAAATCGATTTTTTTGATTTATAAAAAAAATGTCGACACAGTTTGGGATTTTTGGTGGCTAAAAGTATGTTCTTTTGGTGCAAAATGCATTGTCTTTATTTTAACTAATGATTAATTTAAGCAACTGCAATTTTAGAAATCCTTAATCTGCTATATCAGTGAATTATGGCTACAGACAAAAAATGAAGAAAATGTCAGTCTAAAAGGAAGGGGGGGGGGGGGGGAAATTATGCATATAGATGAACTTGCATTTTATTTTTATTACAGTGTGTGTGTGAGCACGCGCTTGTGTTTGTCTAAAAAGAAAAAGAAAATGCTAATTTCAATTATGAAAAAAAAAGTAAATTGAATACTGTATTATTTTACTACTTACAGTGACAGGGGGGGAAGCAGACTTTTAAGCAATTTTAGTCTACTAAACCTTATATCTGTTTTATAAAACCAAGGAAAGGAATTCTGAATGTTTAAAGATGTAAAAACAGAAAACATTTTTTAAAAGTGATTTAAATCACTGAGTTTTATTTTTAAAATCAAGTTGATTTAAATATTTAAAAAATCAACTGATTTAAATCGACCCGATTTAAATCAACCCAACCCTGGTTTTCAATTATGAAAAAAAGTAAATTGAGAACTGTATTATTTTACAGTGACAGGGGGGAAAGCAGACTTTTAAGCATGATTATATTAGTCTACTAAACCTTATATCCGTTTAAAATAAAACCAAGGAAAGGAATTCTGAAAGTTTAAATATGTAAAAACTGAATACATTTTTTTGAAAAGTGATTTAAATCACTGATTTTTATTTTTAAAATCAAATTGATTAAATTTTTTTAAAAAATCAACTGATTTAAATCAACCCAGCTCTGATTTCAATTATGGAAAAAAAAGTAAATTGAATACTGTATTATTTTACAGTGAAAGGGGGGAAATCAGACTTTTAAGCATGATTATATTAGTCTGCTGAACCTTATATCTGTTTTATGAAACCAAGGAAAGGAATTCTGAATGTTGAAATGTGTAAAAACCGAATAAAAATAATTAAAAAAAAAAGTGATTTAAATCACTGATTTTTATCACAAAAAATCAAGTTGATTTAAATAAAAAAAATCAACTGATTTAAATCAACCCAACCCTGTCTTATAATGATTAACAAGCCATATATGCTGTCATCGCCACTCTGTACAGTCAACCTAGAATACTTAAATTAAAGCTTTCACCTCCCATTTCTTGTTCATAGGCCTGTAAAACATGATCTAAGAGTCTCGGACTTGGCATTAACAAGGGATAATGATATGTGTTTCCTGAACAAGATTCACTATTTTGGTGAGGCACACAACCCTCCACAAAAGAGCAAAGCCGCTTTGTTCAAAAAGTAAGCAGTTTTACGCAGCCTATAATATTACCCTTTTCCATTACTTTGCATTGTCCAACTGAAATTCTGTTGAGGCCGAGGCTACTCTTCATACACTCTTTTTTTCTTAGTTTTTTTTTGGTAAGCGTTTTATGGCGCTCGCACTGCATAAGGTCATATAACATTTTCAGTTGGTAGGAAATTTTGAATTTTGCCTGGGTGGCGGCCGAAGCATTCTCTCATCGATTTCAGACCACCAAGGGATCTTTAACGTGCCCAACTTGCACATCGGCCCTAAGAGATTGTTTGCCCTTGTCCAAGAAGGCCAAGTGTAGACCTTTCCTACCAGAAGATCAGGGGTGTGGCTGAAAGACAGCAAAAAGAAGGAGCCAAGAAGTAGCAGTACAAAGGATGCAGAGAGAGAAAGGAGCCCAGAGGAGGGGGCAAAGGAGGTGAGGGGGTGGGGGATAGAAAGAGGAGAGGAAAGCAGATGACAGAACATTGCTAGAGAGAAGGAAAGGAGGTGAAAGGAGACAATTTTAGAGAAAAAATGTTTTGTCGCTACCCGGATTCGAACCCGGGACCATTGAAATAGAGGCCAACACCTTAACCTCCAGGCCACGAGAGCCCCCTACTCTTCATACTCAGAGCGAGACATGGGAGCAGTAATAGCAAATAAATGTTCCCTCTCTGACCAACATAGTGGAATATATGCCCAGCCACGAGGTATACGATATTGATTTGTTTGAATCAACAACAAAAGGACTCGAAGAATATATTTGACATTTTTGTCAAATTGTGAGTTTGTCTTACATGAAATTGCAGCGAGCACCTAGCACACCTCTGTGATTGGCCCAAATATAGATGACGTATTACCGCCATCTCTTTCTGCCGTCTTCAGGGGCTTTCCTCGCCAGTTCGTATGATGGGCTACGTTACTAGGTTTCATCGCCGACTGCGTGGGCTGTGTGTGAGCATGCACGCTTGAGTGTGTGTACAACTTTAAGGAGAAGGTAAATTTATGGAACAAAAATTGCTGAGATTGTTTATAAAGACAACATTTACAACCCCCCCCCCAACGAGATCTAGATCTGGTCAGTTACTGGCGAGGGAAACCTCAGAAGACGACAAAAATAGATGCCCGAAATACGTCATCTATATTTGGGCCAATCACAGCTCGCAGCAGCTTCACGTTTTTGTCTTCCCCGACTTCCTGTTCAGACGGAAAGGTGTACATGTGGGCAAGTCCACATATGGGAGGAATTCCGTAACGAGCGACCGCTATTTGAAACAGAGCATAGAATAGAGGGTTAGACTGTTAGAGCAGGGCAAGTTACAGTTAGGTCTCTTCTTGTGAGAAATTTTGTAACGAGCGACCACTATGAGAGTAGAATAGAGGGTAAGGGATTGGGTTAGGGGTAGGCGTAGGGTTAGGGTTTGCGGAAAGGGTATGGGTAAGGGGTAAGGTCAGTCTGGTTAGGGGTTGGGTCAGGATTAGGGTTAGGTCTCTAAGCTTATATATAGGCCTATATAATCAATGTGTTTGTTGGGGTGGTTGCTCTGGAATAGCAATGCCAATCGGGCTTTCCCGCGAGGCGAAAATTTGGTCCCCGTTTACGGGCGATTTTGCGGACCCGGCCGAAGCGTAGGTGACTAACTTTGTCAACCTCGGTCTGCTCTATTTCCGAACCAATCCGAATGAAACTCGGCTACCAATCAGAAAATAGGGCAAACTAATGATATGTGGACGTTGAAGTTCGTACACATAAATTAACCTATACTTTTGGTGTCGGGAACACTTTCGTATCGTGTACACCGAAAACTATAAGGAGTTTGAATTTCAACGCCCAGATGGTAATAGATCTATCTATCCTCTATAGTGTGCTCAAATTTGAAAGTTCTGTGTCAAGTAGTTGTTTAGACCCGATCGTAAATCTACGACTACCCCCCTATCCAAAGCGGCTTCGCACGGAGACCGGCCATTTTCCCCTCACTCCCGTGGCAAATGTCTGTGACCTACAAATCCCCGCATGACTATTCCGGGCCCGTTCATTGGTCACTTGAAATAGGGCAATGGCGGGCGCGCGCATCCGGTTGTTTTTCTCTCTATTCCCCTGTAACATCGCAATGGGGGTATTCCGAGGCGAGGTTATCTCGTCTCGGGGTGTTCGCGTCTCAACGGGGAAAAAGAGTTTTTAATTGTACGGCATGCTAGATTGAATTAACTTATCTTTTACGGTTGGCATGGTCTAAAGTCATCATAAAAAGCTTTGCAATTATTTAGTCACGCTGCCGACATATATTCTTAAAGATCCCATGTTGTGATACGATGCTATAAATAAAATGGACTCATCCCGACACCCCTTTTTCGCAAAATCGTAATATGCACACCACAATTTTAATTATACCAAAATAACTACGAAATTGGTAGTAAATCTGACTGCAGAAATGATTTCTACACTCAAAAACACATCGGGTAGCCAAGTTTCTCTCGAACATTTGGATTAGTTACCGAGATATCGTCGATTTTCTTACAGAATCTGCTACTGCGTGGTCCACTTTTTAGGAGTATTTTCCTATATGTGGGTCATCCATATTTTGCCGACCTTTACAACCCCATAACTTTTTTATTTATGAACCGTTTCTCAAAATTCAAGAAGCATAATTATCAGAATTGAAAATTCTTTCTTAGGTACCAAAAAAAAAGGGGGCAAAAGTGTAAATTTAAATTTTCATTGGCATTGCTATCTGGAAGTCCTTCCCTCTTTTTTGTTGTGTATTGTTGCGGAAGTCTTCCGCACATAGTTACAGATTACTACATCTAGATCTATGCTTGTCCACTCAGGATATGATTTTTGTGAAGCATGGCTGACTTATTACACTTTGGGGAAATGAATCTGGGTAAAATTGTTCTTTACCGGACCACCGGTCGGAACTAGTTTCACTATGGCGCCTAGCGGCCCGCTATTCTTCCTTTCCAAGCTCCCCTACTCAGTTTTCTACGTCCTCATCTTTTGACTGCCAACAACCGACTGATGTCTCTTACCGGATTTTTCAGTCATCCCGACCATGCCACCGTGCCCTTTGACCCTGATACCTTGAGGCTAATTGGTCAATCTAATCAGGTGGTCCACTATTCTTATTTGCTCGCGACTCTGCAAGGCTAGGCCTACTCCTGATCCAGCAAAGTCCAATGGAGGGCAAGAGATGCGCACGAGAGCTCATATTCATAATTTTGCAACTCCCTCGGCCCTGCTGTGAAGCAAGCGTCTGCCTGTTTCAACTCTAATTAGATATACCCCGATGGTCCCCTCAGGTTATTGTTTATATATATGGGTGTGTGTGTTTTTAAATTATTGTTGCCAGGCTAGCCCCCCTGAAAGCCCTCACTGTTGTTACATTGATATGTAAACATTAAACATGATTGTCCGCTCATGTCATTGTTTTGCATTTGTGTGTTTTCTTTATTGTTTCCAGGAGGGCAAGCCCCCCCGGACACCCCCTCTCCCCCAACTGTATGATACACAGCGGTCCACCAAAGTTAAATTCCCTACCAACCATCAACCACCTCTCGCCTCGCGCTGTGTGCGAAGTCGCCTGCGGAACCACCCACGCAGAGAACTAGATTCTAGATTTAGAGTGTGTAGGCGTAATTAGGCTAGGCGTGCGTAGTAATCGCGGGCCGAGACGGGTAGTTCGGTAAAGTACAACCCAGCCTGAATCTGTTGCAGTTTAGTACGCTCGAGCCTTCTCTAGATCTAATGGTTTGAAGATTCTAAAGGTCTAAAAGTGGCTGAAGCGCTGTGGAGCTTCATCACCCTCTAAACTAAATGCTAAGTACTTGACTTATCTTTTAAAGTCTTTTATAATTTTAGTATAAATATAAAGTAAAACATATTAAACTAAAGACTAAAGCACTGAGTAGGCTAGAGTCTGGAGAGTACTGAGCTAGATCTAGAATCTAAGTCTAGATCTAGATTTGTCTTAGATTTCTAGATTCTAGATCTCTCTAGAATCTAGATCTAGATCTCTCTAGAATCTAGATCTAGATCTAGATCTAGATTCTAGATCAAGAGTCTACAAATACAAAGACTCGACTGGCTATGTATGACAATCTGAAAGTTCACAAAGTTGATTCCACTTGCCACTTCAGTATTAATCTTGGCCGTTAGATCTAATCTTTCAAGACTTAGCCAAAGAAAAATCTTTACCAGTTCCCACAAATGAAGAGTATTAAGTATTATAAGTTTATTTTTCGAGTATAAAAGTGTGGGAACAAAAAAGAAAAATAATGAAGATTCTAACTCGGGTGAGGGGCCCGGCCAAGAATGTTCTGGATTGGAATCCCAGCTTAGGTAAAGGCACTGCTTGTTTGATCGTGTCTGTGACAAAGCATGAGTTTGTTGATGCCGTCACTAAGAAGTCAATTCAATGTGAACATATCCTAATTTCAAGAAATTTTTAAGTCACAATCAAAGCTATGAACTAGTAAAAACATTTAAAAGTTATTAAATAAGGAATGTATCTCTTACCTTAGCACCTTCTTTCATCATTTGGGCAAAGCCCGGAGCTCGTGGTACGTGCAGCGCCATGTTTGTTGATCTCGGTATCCCAGAATGCAAAACAGTGACCGATGGCGCATGTGCAAGGACATGGAGTTATAGATGTACTTCCAGGATTGTCATAATAAATTAGGGAAGAGGAAAGCAGTGGTGATACAAAAAGTGAAAAGATCAGATTTGTCGGGATTGATCAGAAGCAAAATTAATGATTGCTGGCTGGTAAGACTATGAAGAGACCGCGAAATGTTGACTGCGGAAAGATTCGGCGTCCGCTGAAGCGAAGTAAAATAACGGATGGTATCTATGGAAGGTAAGGCTGATGACAACACTCTTAGAACTCAAATAAATGAAAAGCAGACTTGTGCTAACAAATGCACACGAAGTACAGGAGCTTTTAGTTGAAGTTGGATAGTGGGTTTATCCCTAAATATGTTATAAATTAAGTGTCAGCCTGTATAAGTCGTTGTATTCTGTAGCAACGTTTTACCTGTGGTTTTTTTTTTTCATTTGTCATCATGAGAGCCATGATTGCCTTGATTACAGCAAGACAAAGTAAAGGCTGGCTCACATTCAGTAGTTTGACTAGCAGTTTAGCCTCAAAAGTAGCCTACCCTACTGCTAGAATCTAGATCTAGATCTAGATCTAGTCAAGATCTATCTAGACTACTACCAAGTTACTAGATTCTAGATCTACCAGTTCGGAGACTGGCCTGTTGCCTAACTAACTAGATCTAGAATCTAGAATCAGTAGTGATTTTCAAAGGAAATTAGGGCGAGAGCCTTGCGTTATAAAGTTTAAAAGACACTAGACAGAGCATGAAAAGTATTTGTTGTTTGTGTGATGCTGCTTTACTTGTAGATTCTACTCAAACTTGCTCGCTGTAGTGTAGTGGGCACCCTCATCACCCTGCCTGTGCCTGTCACTGTTGTTATCGTAGAGAAGGCTGAGAATCTTACGTCTGATCTGATTAGTTTTTTGGATTCTATAGTAGTGACATTCGAACGCTCAGGAAAATAAACCTCACCTCTATTTCTCAGAACGGTTTCCGTTCTTGAGATTTTTTGGTGAGGCCTATTTGCGAGACTCAGGCGTCATCTTTCATTTTGCCATTTTGCGAGAACTGGGAGGAAGCTTTTATTGCATCGAATTCAATTTCTAGAGCTAGAGATTTTTTAAAATGTCTGAATACTTCAGATACTTCAATTGTGATTGGGGCAACGTTCCTAGACTATACTTCATTTGAAAATGCCTTCAAAAGTTACTGCGAGAAAACAACACTGCTCGACTTTGGCAGTAACCTATTTTGCATTTAGTTACCCCTAAAGCAAAAAAACTAAAATTCTTTCTTGTAAACAAAAAACAAATCCCCCCACCTTCACGCCTTATGCTCACACACAAACACACGCGTGCGCAGGCCTCTCCATTCGCAAATAACCAACTAATCTGGAGAACGAAAACCGTTAGGAGAAATAGAGTCAAGTTTATTTTCCCGAGCATTCGGAGATATAGAGCCGGCCTTTTATATATATATATATAATATATATTCTTAGGTTTCCAGTATTAACAGAAATATATAAAGAATTCTTTGTCTTCTTAGCTTTTCCAGTCGTTGGACGTTGTATCTGGGACTTTTCTGCAATATATTACAGTCGAACCTGTGTAAGAAGGAATCACAAAGGAGCCAGAAAAAAATTCCGTCTTAGAGAGGGGATTTAGGGGGGAGATGGAGGGGGGTTCTCAACTGCTCAACTGCTATCATCTCTGATCATAATGGCATGGGCAATCTTACTTATCCATTGACGCCAGTGCTTGCATTTTATAGGACCACTGTTTGACATACTAAAAACAAACATTTGAACATCTCCTTTGCTTCCACCCTTAGCCCCACCCATCGGTGTAACAAGCACAGTCAACCAATTATACAAATTTCCTTCACTGCCATGTAAAATAATTCAAGGAACTCTTTTCCTGGCTAGCTGTATGATCAGGGAGGCAGGCATCGGTCAAACTAATTTCACACCTCTGGCTTCTGGCTACCCAGGAAAGTTTCCGAGGTGGCTCACTACTCTAGCACTTTCACTGGCACTCGTGAGATTTCACACCCTCACTACCTGACCATCTGCATCATTCAGAGCTCACATAAAATCATAGATGGGGTGGTAACATCTACCCCCATATTGCACCCATGATCCCCCCTTCCTCGCCCAATGGCATGGCGTTTGGTTTAGACCCAGCCAGCGGAACCAAACTTGCGAGTTAATCAGGGTTGAGCGGGCAAAGCATTTTCCGTCATAGACAGGTAAAAACCATCGGAAGAGAGGGGATTTTTCTTTCCGTCTCCACATTGGACAGGTTTCTGTCTTATACAGGTAATTAAAGAGGAATATATCAAGGGGGGAGCGGGAAGATTCCGTTAAGACAGGTTTCCAAGTTTCCGTTAAAGCGGGTTTGACTGTATTAAACAGTCTGCCTGCCTGAGTTGTTTTAGTTCCATCAAGAATTGGCCAAGCCAGGTTTTTATGTTCCTGTTTCTTTCTTCTGTTTGGTCAACCTCTTCCTCTCTGGCTTTGCTTCCATGTGAGTGTCTTGAGTGTATGCCCCAAAAAGTTCAGTTCGTTTCATTTGTATTCAGATGAGTGTTGGCATTTCTATGCCTTCTATGCTTAGTACTTCATTAATTATTTTCTGTCTGTACTCTAATATTCGAAGAGTTCTTCTCTTACGCTTTATATAGAAAGTGGTGGTCCATGCTTTAAATCGTATGGTGAGGAATATGGTACTTAGGCCTACTTCTCAGAATCCTTATGTCTGTTAGAGCTGCTCTCACTCCTTGCATTGTTCTGTCCAGAGAAATCTTTTAATATTGAGACTGCTATTCTCAGTTTGATCTGTTCTGTGACCTATATGACGAAGGGCGTTCGTTAATTTTTCTTATCAAGTGGCAAAGGAGGCAAGATGATACTGTGACAAGTCAAGTGGCGTTCTTAGTGCTATGCCTTGCGGAGCACGAAGACCATGTTCGTCATATTTTTTATTCAGTTCTGCGTACTGCTTCTAAGACATTGCAGATTCAAATTCAGTGATAAACTTTCCGTACAAAGTCTAGACCTGCATGTTTGCTGACAATCGTTTGAAATCCGACGATGGCAACCGGACCCGCGACCTAGCCAATGCTATCGCTAGGCCCACCTGTATTAATGTGCGAAGTGCGAGGCCTGGCCTATTTCCATCGCCCCCTTTTTCTCCGGTTGGCTTTGTCTGCATTTTCGTTTTCGCGCCGACGTTTCCGACATAATTGTCGGAACCTGGGTAGAAATACAACTACGAAAAAGGACGACGACCTAAATTATCTGCTTTCAGTTTTGTGCTGGAGCAGCCATTTTGAATTTCGTCTGGTGATTGATCGATTGTTCGGATGTGGATTCATTCAAGGCCTATACTCACTTTCTACTAGATCTAGATCTCTCTCTATATATAGATCATTATAGACCTCGATGGAGGATTCATATACAAATTCTATTGTGTCAAACCATGTTTTAGGTTGTGCTGTTATATTAATGTTGGTAAAAGAGCATTTCATCAGGTACGTAAATAATTGCTAATAATTATTAATCTAGTATTAGTATTTATATTAGACTCAGCCGAGTCCCTATGTTCAGATTGGGATTCGGATTTCTCGTTCAAGGCCTCCTTGTTCTACTAGATCTTGATCTAGATTCTATTTCTAGATGTAGATTTATAGATTACTATATGGAGGATTCATCTTCCAATTCTAATTGTGTTATTGTATCAACCCTATTACATGATAGCAATGTAGGCCATGCTCCTTGTTAGTTTTGGGGTGTAGGTTTTTTTTCATTTTGGACTTGTACTGGCATTTTTACATGAGGGCCGTTGCAGGTTCTTTTTTGGGGTAGGGATATGGTAGGTCTCTTTGTTTGTTGGGGTGGTCGCTCGTTACACGGAAGTCCTTCCTTTTATGACACAGCTCTTTGGGGGGGAACATTTTCAGACAATCTGGTTGAGCCTCACATGCAGGTCTAAAAGTCTTTTCTTTGTCCTTTTAGAAATAGTTTGGGATTCAAAATGACGCATGAGAAAGCACAAAATGATGGTGTGTCTTAAGTTGTTTCGTCCTAATGTTGGTTCAATGATGTTCAGAAGTTCTGCTAATCTGCTACCTTTTTCTCTTTCTTTCTTCCCCATCAATTTTACAGCTCCTTCTTTGTAGTCGTCATGTCCTTGATTTTGGTCTTTACATTTTTAGATTATGTGTAATCCTTTTTCGTCACTTTGGTGGGGGAGATTCTCTGATCCTCTTGTTGATGTGGCAAAGACTAAAGAGTACAGTGTCATCTTCACATCTTAAGTCTCTTAACCGCATTCCTTGTATTGATGGTTCGTCATATATTATTATATTTCATCCCTTTTACTTTCTTCTTGAGTCTTGTCTACTATCTATCTGCATTCTCAGTCATTCTGTCGGAGTATGTTGAAGAGATGTGATGGTTGCATGCATCCTTGTCACAAGCCTTTGTTACAGGATAAGCATTAGGACATTAGAGGATTGGCTGATAGCCTTACTCTATATTACTCACTACTTCTGCAACTACTATCAGTTTACAGAGTTGCTGCTCTGTGCTGGGTCTTTGACTGCTGCTGCTGCTGCACCTTCTATGATTGTGCAACTTAAAGTAATGTCTGTTCAGTTATTGAAGCAAGAAGCCTTTCCAACCATTTTTTGTGGATTCTTTTGTCCTGATAAGACTTTTCTCCTAGTATTTTGTTTTTGGGGGAGGGGGGAGTTTTAGGTTTGATTTTGTTTGAAGGTATAGCACTGGATATTGAAAACCAAGCGCCTTGTCCCAAGTCAATCCCTTGTCTGAACTTTGCTGTGCAGGAGTTTCGCCCAGTGTATCTTCTAGAGGTCTTGATAGTGTGTCTTTATAAATGTGAGGCAGCGTGGTGGAATCAGGCATGGGCATGTAGAGTTATTGGTGTCATCTTATAGCTTTTTCATTTGTCTTTATTTGAATGAAAACAAACATCCATTACGTTGAATACAAGTCGAGATATTTGCGAATGAAGGAGGTGGGTCACCTGTTTTCAGAAGTAAAATTAGTGAGAAAATGGGCGCCAAAGATTAGTTATTTCCTTAGCTCAAGGGTCCGTACTAACTGAAAATTAGAATTTTTTATGCCTTTTATCAACGTTTTTAAGAAAAGTCCACACAGAAATGAGTTCTTTAATGGGCATGAAAGGTGTAGAGCCAAAAACAAAAATTTGATAACAATTCACAATCCTGCGGAAAATTGCAAGTTTCTTCACCTTGATTGTTTTGACGAGAGCCTGATTCTACCATGCTGTCTCACAAATGTTTTTTTGTCGTTGTTAAAACGGTAAAAAAGGTTTTTATAGGCCTTTATTCCAAAATGAAGGGAAAAAATTAACATTAGTCGTACTTTTCAGTTCATCAGTATGTTATCATGTGAGTTGAGATTGATTCTTTCTAAACAGTGTCATCTTTTAGCGCACAAAAATTATCACCCTGTTTTTCAGTTTGTTTCAGCGTATGTATCGGAAGTAGTTTCAGTCTGTGCTTTATGGTAAAAAAAAAAGGGGGCAAAAACATGTATCATGCCTTCAGTTTCAGTTGCTAACAGAAAATATTGGTGGGAATTTGAATAGAAGCAATGATAGTAAATAACAAGATGGGCCACTCAGCCAAAAAAGTGTCCGCAGGAAGTATGCTCTTTGCTTCAGATGGCGCTGCAGTCTGTTTTGAAGCTCTCTTTCGTTTTTCCAGAAGAAGAATAGGAATAGCACCTCCTTGCGTGCGCAGATCGACTGCTGTTCATTAGCAGTTCGGTTTCGTTCAGTACGGAGTTTTAGTTTTTTAAAATTTTAATGACCTCTTGCCTTTCATTCTAAAGTCAAATTAAACTAAGAAAACAATCACCCTTTCCTCCGGAAGAGGTTTTTTGTCAGCGTAACCATTTAAAAAAAGCGTTCTTCCGAAATCATTCAAAAACTTGCTAGTTTCACTTTGATTTTTAAAAACTCAAGTAGGATAACTCTGTTTGCTAAAGATGCGCTTTTGCGAAGAGGGCGCCACCGAATTTTGCGGACACTTTTTTAATTGGCTCAAAGAGAGAAGTGACCCATCTTGTCTTGTACTATCTTTGATAGAAGTTCTTTGGTTTTATAGATGATAGGAGAAGAAATAGAAAATGTTAAATTTTATCTGGGTTCAGGGTCTCTACCAAACTGTTTGAAAACGCCTTGATTCATCTCAAAATACTGCAAATCAAGCATTGAAACTTCACGCCTCATGTTTGCATTTGATTCTTTTAATGATTTAGTTCAATGTCATAATAAAAACAGTTGTCTTTTTCTTTTATTAAACCGATAGAAGCAAAAAACTAGGTTTTAAAAATGTCCATTTCCATTATGATTTTGATTCCAAAGTCTTGTGATTTTCTGATTGCAGTTGCTGAAAGAATCTGACCACTTTATAAAACTTAAACGATGTGACATCTTGATTTTGATTCAATAAAAGTAGAATGGGGAAGAAAGATGGGCTTGAGAGGTGAGGTCTGGAGTAACACTTTGCTGTCACATCTGGCCGATCGGCGATGTTTTCCACCCAGTTTCTTTGGATTTTCCCCCGAAATGCCTTTGCCTTTAATGGCAAGGGTTTTTACTATAAATAAGCCTTGTGATGGCAAAGTGTTAAAGGGGACTTGGATGTAAAATTGCCGAGTTTTTTGTATAAAATCGACAGTCCTAGTGTTCATTAGTATTGTGTACGGTGGACATGTATAAATTTTTCCAAGGAATTGAACTATATGTATAGTTGCTGTGGGTATTGACACGGTGTGAAATCAGTCAAATCATTGGAAAGAAAATGTTGATGCTGCTGGAGAAAAATTATCCTGTAGGTTTTAGTTATTTATCCAGATTCATAGAGCTCCGGCAAAAAACTTACAGGTAGCAAAGTTCTAAAAAATTTGAGTCTTCATCCAATTTTGTATAGTATTCTTAGTGTTTTTTGTTAGTTTTAGTAGAAGTTTTACGGCGCTCGCAACTGCATAAGGTCATGAGCGCCAGTTCTTAGTGTTTAGTGGTTAACAGACCAATTGAGCTCTTATAAACATAACTGTTATAATTCACTTCTCTTTTACAGTTCTATATTTTTAAAACAAAAAACTGAACTTGAATGTTAGGTAAATTCAGTTTGCTAAGATAATTGTATAATGTCTTGAGTATAAATTGCCTTTTGTGGTGGAATAGTGGAGTAATTGAAGTTGAAGAAAAGGGATTGAATTTCATGTTAGATCATGAGTACTAGACTTCTAGAACATCTTCTTTCCTATCTAACACCTATCGTCCTTATCTCCCCTTCTTCTTTTTAATGTTTGTCACTCTCTTGTAACACCTCTAATCTTCTGGCGCTCATACGACCATATATTATGCAGTTGCGAGTGCCGTAAAACCTCTACTAAAACTAAGCTAAAATTCTCTGACCCGATATGATTTTTTCATGTTTTAAAACATTTTTTATTTATCCCTTCACAGCACATTTCTGTACCTGAGGTTTTTGCTTGTGTGGGCCCTTGTTCTAATGGCGGATTTCATCCTCGAGTTCCGGTTTGAATACCTCTGGCCTTTCTGGCTGTTGCTGAGGAGTGTTTATGATTCTTTCAAGTATCAAGGACTGGTGAGTAATGTATAACAGGGATGTAAATCTTCCGGCTTTTTCCAGGTTTTCCAACCGACTTACTAAATAGAGATTATTTGTTGTATTAGAGGGAAAGAAACAAATATAATTTAGTCTCACTGTATTCTTATTTCAGTCAGTGCGCGCGCGCAGTATATTTTCCGGCTTTTTTTTCAAAACCTGTTTACATCCCTGGTACAATGTTTTTCTGAGTAAAAATTGAGCATTCCTTGAGCGGTGTAAATGGTTTTTTTAAAAGTCAGTCATGATGACTTCATATAATTTGGAGAAGGATTTGGGTGATTGTTTGTTTTATACTTTCTGGTTTGTTTTTTCCCTCCACTGCAGTAAACCGATATTGTTTATAGGTGGGAGTCATCGTACTCGGCCTATTAAAGATTTTCAGCCCCCTATAGTCTATGCTCCACCTGGGATTGTTGACTGTCTGCCACCTTGGATAAAGACTTTTTGGTTCTTGTCTGCAACTGCTTTCCTCTCATCTTTATTTTGAGTGTGAGCTCATTGGTGTGGAGGGGGCCATTTTATGTTTTTTAAATTTACTTCCTCTATATAAGAGATAGCAATAGTTTCTCGTGTGGAGTCTGACATTTTTACTTTTCCTAAAATGTTTAAAAGAATACGACCCAGTGATTTTTATTGAAGTTTTAAAAAAAAGCAATATTTAGCAGTCTTTCCAGAGGAACTAATCATTGATATGCCAGACACCAGCTGACAGTCATTGTCATTCAAAGTCAAGAGGTTTCAGTTCCATTGTTTTAGTTTTAGTGTATGTTTTGTAGTGAGTGGAGGGTTTGGTTGGGGTATCATAATTTTTGGGTTTGGAAGAGCTTTAAAGAAACTGGAAAATATTTGCCGTTTAAAGTAAATTTAAACATTTCCACGGTGTAGTCAGCATAAATACCAACAAGAGAGTGTGGTTCAAAAGAGTCAATGTCCAAAAGTACAGCAGTACTTGATCAAAAAAAGACCTGATGAATAGAGAAACGGATAATGAATTATATAAATAATGGACACTGATCCCCATTTAGTAGAACAAAATTTAAGTATCACTCTATGAAAACTGGCTGACGTAAAGTCAGTGATCTATATGGTGCTTTCAGGCAACGAGGGTTTTCTATTTCCCTTTTGTGGTTGTTCCCTCTGTCCAGTTTTTACCTCCTTTTGTTTGAGCAGAGTTGAGAGGAGCACTTATACGTGTTGGAGGGGACTTTTGTGAGTGGCAAACTCACGCAGGCAGTTCCAGGCATCAGCAAAATGGTTTAAATATTGTGTTCTCTGCTCGCAGTTGTATAAAACTCAGCTGGCTCGTCATTGTGTGCAGACATTAATTTGTAAAAATATAGTTCTAGTGATTAATGATTAAAATGTTGCTGTCTCTCATCCTCTATGTGTTGTCATACAGCAGTTGGTGACCTTATTTCAGTGTAAATGTTATTGCCCAGACAGTGATAGTTAATGATGTGGAACTGGGATTAAAATTGTAGCCATGTTAATTTGACTAATTTGAGTATTTTAACTTGCAAACGATAGCTACGAACAGGGGATTGTTTCATGCTGTTGGGGAAGGTCTGAATGCCATAGTTGGCTAATGATAATGAGCTTGGTCGTCCCCTTTGGTATTTAATTACATTCGTTTCGTCTTTTTGTTGCTGTCTGTTTTTGTGAGTGACAGCGTTAAAAAAATTCTGTCTAATTTATTTTCTGCCGTGTTTCTGTTTGTGTATTTGTCGGAGTATTCTGCATTTTTGTCTATTGGTAGTGGAGCCAAAATTCTCCCAGTATTGTCTTATTTACTCTTTTTGTTATTCATTCGCATTTTGTATAGCATACTTTTAGTTTTTCTTTTCTCAGTTTTAGCAGAGGACCATTGTCATTCGTACATTTGCCTCTTTCTTCCACCTCTTTGGTACACCTCTGAAGTTACTTTTAACCTTTATCTCTCATTGTTCTCCAGGATGAATTTGGTTTTCCTCTATTTCTGTCGCTGTTTGCGTGTTCAGTTCTAAACATTTTCGCAAGTGTTTTGTTTGTCATTCTGAATACCTGTCTTACCTATATTTCATTCTTTTTTATAACCTTAATGATTTATTGTTTTCGATCCTTTCTTTGAAGGAAGGTGCTACAAAAACTGGGCTCTTTTTAATTTTCCATGTGCAACATTTGTTGTTATAACTGTCTTTAGTGTAATTGAGGGTAATAAATAGTATATAGGGATTTGAATGGAAAGAACCATCATTCTTGGGCAACTGAGAGAAATATTATGTGAAGATTGCTTTTCTTCACAGTATTTTGATGGATTGCGTAAACTCTCATTTTGTAAGTTTTTAGTACTAAAAGTACTAAGGCCTCCAAGTTTTTTGGACTAATATGATGTCTTTACAACCATAATGCAACATTATGTGAACATCATGTCATGTAAGCATAGCTCTAGTCTTTTTAGGCTTTTTTTGGTATATTTTTTATACCCCCTTAAAATTTTCGTTTTAAAAAAAAATACAGCACACAAAATAAATGCTAAAACAAAACTAATTAAAATATGCAGTTTTCTTGTTGACCAAAGTTTTGTATCGTAGTAGTTGATGATCTTACCAAATAGCATAAAATTTGTTTGAAAAACGAAAAACCCGTAAGGATTTTTTCAGTGCCTAAATTTTGAGGTAACAGTTGCATACTATTTAATTATATAATCTCAGTTGTCAATGATTGTTTATTTTACGACATTCAAGTATCTAACCGTTTCCTATGAACATACTGAACACAGTGATTACACAAGACATTCTGTATATGGAGAATCTAAAGAGATGGAAATTTGAGTGGCACCTTCCCTTTTAAAATGGATTTTGTTTACTCTCAAGATCTTCCTTGCATGTTGTTAAAAGAATGTAATTTTTTTTTCTTGTTGTTTTTTTTAAAAGGATATTTGCCCTGTTTAGTTGTGTATTGTGTACTTCGACCCATACCGGTATTGCCTTTACAATTGGAAAATGGGTGGTTGGCAGAGGTGCTTATGTGTGGTTTGTTCCGTCTTTCCTATCAAATTATATCTATCGTCCTTATATCTCCTTCTTTTATTTGTATGTTACATGTACTGTCTAGTAACACCTCTAATCTGTGGCACATATTACATGTATATGACCTAATTGTGTTGCAAGTGCTGTAAAACTCTTACTAAAACCTGGGAGGAAAAAGTTGTGGTGTATCATGCTTTACCTCGTCCTTATTCAGAGGTTGATGGGAGCCACTTTTAGGTCTTGCTTCCTTACAGAAATATTTTTGTTGTTGTTTCTACCGTGTGCTTTGCATTGCGACGTGGCCGTTATTGTGTTACTGTACCTCTATGGGTGGTTGGTTGGTGGGTGCTTTTTTGTGGTTTTGCTCCTTCTTTCCCATCAAATGCCTGTTGTCCTGATATCTCCTCCTTTATTTCTATCTATGTTATTCCGTCCTCACCCTCTTTGTTACTCTCTTGTAACACCTCAAATCTTTAGCCCTTACACTTATATGATCATATTGTGTTGCAAGTGCCATAAAACTCTAACTAAAGCTTAAAAAACCCCCAAAACAACTGTACTTTTTTTTTCACTCAAATAGCATACAAGTCCTTATTTTACATTTTAGAAGACGCGTCTGGTAGCCGCCGCCTCCCCCCCCCCCCCCTCTTTCCCTCTCTCTCTCTCTCTCTCTCTCTCTCTCTCTCTCTCTCTCTCTCTCTCTCTCTCTCTCTTTCCCTATTCCATCGGGTGGTTGTTAATGGAGAATGGCATAGTCTACCTCGTTTTTCTTGAAAAAAAAAGTTATCTGGCCAATATGTACACATGGAAATCGGCTCGTTGTCATGATGATTTGCCTTTGTCTGCTCTTGTACTCTTATCTCGCTGGCTTCTTTTTGTAGTCATGGTAGTTTTTGTTATCAATTCAAACACGAACTGGTGTGTGTGTGTTTGTGTGTGTGTGTGTTTGTGTGTGTGTGTGTGT